CCCGCCAGATCGCCTTCGGGAATGGAAGCGTTGGCATGGGGACCCGGAGGTCATCTAGTCTGTCCCGCTGGCGCTGGGAGGAGGCAACGTCCGCTTTGCTGTCCGGTCGGCTCGGTCCTGGAGGATGGCCCGCCAAAGGGAAGAAGAGGACTGGCTTGGGGAAGGGAACGGCGGGATGCCTTCCACACGTGAGCCTCAACACGTGTCCGCTCTAGGAACCCGGGGCTTCTTTGGGACGGAGTTAGGCTCCAAGAAAGGTGTCGTCCAAAGGTCTCTCGCTCGCCCCCCCCCTTTCTTTAAAGTCGCTCTCCCCAGGCTGAATTTCCTGTCCTCTGCTAAGCAGCTGACAGCTCTCCCCCCCCCCGGCTTGTCTGTGGGCGGGGCGTGGAGGAGGATGCTGAATGCACGCGGGGAGCTTCCCGGGAGGCTTTGAAGATGAAAGGCGACCGCCGCCGCGGCTGCTCTAAAGGGCCGGAGATGCTCAAGGATGCTGAGCACGTCGGGCGAAGAGGAGGAGGAGGGAGAGGGGCGAAAGAGGGCCCCGCCAGGAATATTTAATCGCCGAAAGCCCCTCCCCTCCTCTGGAGGAGCGAAGCGGCCGTCCTAGGGATGATGGGCTTTGCAGTGTGCAGCCAGCGGGGCTGCGCCTGGAGGCAGCCTCCCAGATGAGGGTCCCAGGATGACACCCCCCCCAAAATAACCAGAAGCCCTGATCCTGCTTAGTCAAGTTTTAGTGGCATTTGGAAAAGGCTTCACACACACCCAGATTCCCACTTTTCCCCGGTTTCTTGGGTGAAAATAGAGAGAGGGGCCAGAAGGACAGAAAGGTGAAATCTTGTTCCAGTTTAGAGGTGGACAGATTTATTCCCCTTTTGTAGCTCTGGTCGCTTGCTGTGGCCCCCACCCTTCACTCAGACCAAGAAAAGAGTCTTTGGGGGGGGGTTGAGTCGGTGTGGCTCCGGAAACCTGGGATCAAAATCCTGAAAAAAATCCACAGGGGGAAAAAAGGGATGGGGCAGTAAAAATGATTGTTCTTTGACTCTGCCACATACCTCAAACAGCCTCTTACGTTCCCAGTGAAGCTGGAAGGGCACAAAACAGCAACATTTTATTGTTGTTGTTGTTTAGTCATTAAGTCGTGTCCGACTCTTCGTGACCCCATGGACCAGAGCACGCCAGGCCCTCCTGTCTTCCACTGCCTCCTCTGGAGTTGGGTCAAAAGAACAGCAAATAGCTGGGGTAAATATTTGCTCATCATATTTCATGTCATCAAGGTGGTATTTGTGCAATAAATCGGCAGATGAAAAAGGTCCAGTGGATCATCATCACACAAGGACTGCCTTGAGCAAATCCTCACTTCAAAAGTCTTTGAAAGGTCAATGTTTTTCGTGGGCCTTGAGTTTTATTTTTATTTGTGGCCTATGATGGCTGTTTCTTTCCTCCTTCTTATCTTAATTTCTCTGAGTTGAGACCACTTTAAAAAAACAAATGCAGACAGCTCTTGACTGGGAGAGAGGGGTCATTGTCAAGTGGGGCCTCCATGTTCAGGAGAAGGCTATCTGTGTTCCACACCACAGAAGGGCAATCGGTGTGAACGTTCCCCAAAGGTGGGCCCTTTGAGAAGGCGGGAGTCGCGGTCAGTCAAATCCAGCTTGGCTCGGCTCCTGTGGGTAAGTACCGTTGTTCCTACAACCAGAAAAATGAGACCCACTTTGTACAGAAACAACATATCTTATGATCCATAGATGGTTGAAACCAGCCCAGTTTGCCTCTTTTGTAAACACGTGCAACGGAAAACAGGCACCTTCTTTATTGCTAATCTGACTATAATGTTGGAATGATTCAGGCTCCCGACTCCTATGCTGGAGGAACCTGTTTTGGGGTCCCCTCCGTGGGTCTTAGGGTTGCAATTAATCTAGATTCAGGTAAAGGTAAAGGTTCCCCTTGACAGTTTTTGTCCAGTCGTGTTCGACTCTAGGGGGCGGTGCTCATCCCTGTTTCCAAGCCATAGAGCCAGCGTTTTGTCCGAAGACAATCTTCCGTGGTCACATGGCCAGTGCGACTTAGACACGGAACGCTGTTACCTTCCCACCGAGGTGGTCCCTATTGATCTACTTGCATTTGCATGCTTTCGAACCACTAGGTTGGCGGGAGCTGGGACAAGCAACAGGCGCTCACTCCGTCGCGTGGAATCGATCTTACGACTGCTTGGTCTTCTGACCCTGCAGCACAGGCTTCTGTGGTTTAACCCGCAGGGCCACCACGTCCCTTCAATCTAGATTCAAGGGCACTGCTAACTGCGCTTTCCAGACTATTTCCGTTAACTGCCCTCTGGCTGGACATTGTTGCAGCTCCATGAAGACTATTAGTCTAAAATAACCCCACCCTTTTACTATCTTCTTGATATCCATCTTGATAATTTTATGAATCAAGGAATTCAACTCCCATCAGCTAAAGGACGGCAGAGCCCCAGGGCCCCAGCCCCCATGGTGGTGGTGGTGGTGGGGAATCTGGCCCCAGACACCTGGGAAACCAAGGCTGGAGAGAGACCTCAAAACTGATGCAAAAGAAGGCATGTATGTCCCTCTTGGGTTGGATGGTCCCGCAGTGGGTTGGGTGGCTTCCTTCCTTCCTTTTCTGTTGAGAAGACAAAGATCAACCTCTGCACTGCCCCTTCAGCGCTACGGCGCCACTTCTCCCTTTTCAGGGCAGTTTGGTCTTGAATCGGCAGTTAAGAGCCATTAGCCTGGCAAAAGACCTGCTCCCTGTGAAGATTTTGACACCCCCCCAATGGTGTAATAATGAATCATTTGATTTGGATCCACAGAGCACTGCTCCTTGGGACACAACCACATGGACTCTGACTCAGAGCAGTGTTTACTTCATCCTCCGTGGTGCTCCCATTTTGTTGCTAAACTCTCACCTGTTCACTAACAGTTGTAAGAAGCTTCCACCTGATGATGGTGACCCGGAATACCATCTCTTCATTTCCCCCAGTTAAAAAAAACAAAAAACAAAAAACAGAGGCTTTTCCTTTGGGTTTGACAAACCGGGAGAGAAAAGAGTTAACGGCAGAGACGTTGGGGGAGAGCAGCCCAACGCACAACGGAAAAATATGTGCCTTTTAATTGAATTTAGCTTTAATACATAATAACTGTTGTCCTTGGCCCGAGGCAGGAAAGGTGGGCCAAGAGTAATACGGGGAAATAGGAGTCAAGGGCTGCTTTGAGAGAGACACACACACCTCAGGCCTCCAGGCAGGGACGTTTACAGTACTTTTATTTATTTATTTGTTTGTTTGTTTGTTTGTTTGTTTGTTTGTTTGTTTGGCATGTGGGAAGGGGGAGTCATTCATAGACAAGCCCACCCTGCACTCCAGGTCTGAGTTTGGGGAGGGGACTCGGCCACTCCCCCCCCAGCTATATGGAAGAGGGCCCCTGAGGAGGTGGGGGTGGTCAGAAGCCCCAAGGCAGAGGGGCCTGCCGCTAAACAAGGCCTGTAGGTTTTTGCTGGCCCTTGGAAAATAACTGTGTAATCATCCTCGCTTCTTGTTACTTGTTAATAGCGTTTGGAAGGTGGTCAATGCAAGTGCAGGTTTCCCCGGGGGGGGGGGCGGATCTTGTTGACCAAAAGGGAGCCAAGCTGGATTTAGACCCTTTGTCACCCGCCCTCAACAGAGTTGAAAAAGGAACTGTCGGTTAACTGGCCTGGTGGTTCTTAATCTCTTCTTTTAGAAGAAAACCCTTAGGACTGATAAGAAAAGGGCAGTGGGGCTTGGGAAAAAAATATCCCATCAAATATATCCCAGGAGGGCTTTGGGAGGTCATGTTTGAAAGCCCTGGGGAGATGTTGCTCCTTCCACCAGGAAAGTAACTTGGACCCCAATTGCCCTGTGGCCTGAGAAGCCAGAGGCTGCTCTTGCTTATCAGGAAGTAACTTGTCAGAAATGAGCCCATTGTTTGCAGCTCAGGGACCTCCAACTAGGGCTGTTGGACTTGCAATTAAACTTGGGGACCAGCTGCCCCCTCCCCCACTGAAGGGGGCAGGGAAAAAAAAGCCAGGAGCTTGGCAGGTTTCCTGAATATCTGTTCCACCACCCCCACCCCCATTGTCTCCTGGAGCTTCAGCCACATCCTCTGGTTAATCCCTCTCCCATTGTCCTCCCCCCATTGCTGGCATTCCCAGGGGGCTCAGCAAAGCCAGGGTCCCATTCATGGGAGGGAGGCTGAGAGTCCACAGAGCCATCATCCTTCCCTCCCTCCCCGGACGGCCAGCACAACAAGCAGAGCTGGATGGTGGGGGAGTTACTTTTTAAGAACCAGGGCTCGAAGTTGTGAAAAAACCAGGGTATGCCCATGGCAGAGTCTGACACACACACACACACCAAATTCAAGGAAAGCTACCAAGCATCCACCCGTTCTACAACATCCCTCCAGTGCGGGCCCTGCAGGAAGAGCCGTGCAGCGACTCTCCCACCAGAACGGCCTCCGTGTGCCTTGGCCATCCGGGCTCAGCTGCAGGGAAGGACGGGAACCCCGTTCGAGACCCCCTGTGCCCGTCAAAAAGGTTGAGAGCAGAGGCATCTGTTTGGCTATCCCTCTCAAAAGGCCCCTGGATCACAACGGTCCTGAGCACCAGTTGGAGGCTAGTGTACAGTGAAGCCTTGGGCCACCACATTGGGCCACTTGCCGGTCTCTCTGGGCCACCTTCTCTTGCTGAGCGGGGCTCCTACGAGGAGGCAGCTGGGGAGAGGCTATTGCAAGCACGCCAGCCACCCCAGCCGAGCCGGCGTTATTTTTATGTCGGGGCTGTTCTAAGCTGCCTGGCATTTCCTGCAGCACCCTGGCACCAGGCGGGAGGAAACCTGAGCCGGTCTGCAGAGGAGGGGGGTCTCTCTCCTGGGGTCAGCTTCCTGGCAGAGGGGCACGGGGGCATGGGGTGAGAGACAACAGATGGCTGGGGAAGCTCCGGACAGCAGGAAAGAAGGCAGAGTATTGCACTTCAGCAATTTTTCAAGAGGAAAGATGGCTTTAAGCACAAATGGAGTGCCTTTGAGTCACCTAGTGGGGTGTGATTGTGGGTCTCATTTGGCGTGTCCTGAGCTTCAAGAACACTGAAGAAAGCTAGAGGGGGAAAGGAAGAGTCATCTCCCCCCCAGGCCTGAGTTTGCAAAACCGGAGCAGACACGTTGGAGATTGTTCATTCATAGGGCCGCTGTGAGTCGGACACAACTTGAGAGCATGCACACAGCAGCGGCAGCAGCAACAACATGGATCCTCAAGGCCGGCTCGTCTCCTGGCAATGCAGGGACTTGACGGCTGAAGCATCCGCAACAGGTGTCCGGCTCGGCTCTCTTGAAAAAATTCGTTATTAGTTGGCCGGCTCGTCTGCCGCACGGATGTCCTTCCTGATGTTGGACGTGGTTGTTGAGTTGGACAGGGACACCTTGTGCCAGAAAGGTCAGTCCGAGGCATCGCTACATCTGGAGCAAAAGTCAAAATAAGTCTCTTTCTCTTCCCCCCCCGCCCCGCCAAGCCTCTAGAATGGAAGTCAAAAGTCTAAAAAAATAGGGCAGCCTCCTCTTCCTGCCACAAACACCCCCACCCTCGACCTTCTGGGCCAGCTGTCTTGTCCTGCCACCTCTGGAATGAGGGGGGGGGCTTCTTTTTCCTCTACTGCGCTCCCCAACCCAGGAGGGGGCAAGGGGCACGGGGATGCTCTCTGGCTGCCAGCGCAGGGCTTCCCACTGCCATGGAACTGGGATGGGGGTGGGGGACATGCTGCTCTCTCACCAGCCCTGCTGTCCCTTCAACCCCCCCCAAGAGGGATTCTTCCAGGGGGACCACTTTCCCCATACCTCTGTGCTGGCCTTGGGTACATCCAGCAGCTGAGACAGCTAAATAGTGCCGGAAGGTCAGCCAAAACCCTTCCGGTGACACATCGTTTTGCACACACACACACGCACGCACGCACGCACGCACACACACACACACACACACACAGAGAGAGAGAGAGAGAGAGAGAGAGAGAGAGAGAGAGAGAGAGAGAGATCTGGAAAACCTTTGCAAGGCAAACCAAGAGGTCAGGATTCTTTCAAAGAACCTGTTTGTTTGTTTGTCAGTCTGTTCGTTCCTTCTTTCGTTCCTTCTATCCATCATCATCTCCTTCCTTCCTTCTATCCATCATCATCTTCCTTCCTTCCTTCCTCCCTTGCTTCCTTCCTTC